GTGACCCTGTAGGTCAGACAAGAACTGCCCCTGTGAGTATCTGAGACGGTAACTCGTCATGGAGGAGAAAACCCCATCTTTCTCCCACAGAGGGAATTGGTGGTTTCAAACTGCTAGCCCTGTTAGTAGCCCCGTTCATAGCATTACACCTTCAGGGCTCCTCTCCATGAGTGATAGTCGAAACAATAAATAGATTTTACCTACATTTTAAATCATCAGAGCGTGGATAAAGACCATATTCAGAAGAATATTGGGACTGAAAGGAAAATATCAGGAGAAATAGAAAAACAAAAGCAAAAACAAAAAGCCCACTGACGTCGAGTAATTGTGACTCAGAGTGATCCCGGCAGGACAGAGGAGACATGCTCCCTCTAGGTTTCTAAGACTGTACATTTTTACAGTACATAGCTCCATCGTTCTCTTGTGCAGCAGCAGCTGGTTTTGAACCGCTTGCCTTGCAGTTAGAAGGCCAATGGAGACCCAGTTACATCACCAGGGTTCTATAAATAATAAAAGCTTATTCATAGACTTTGGGTAAGCCGCTAAAGAGGCTTGAGGTTTTCAAAGATGAGATGGTTCCAGCTCATGACCAGCAGATGTCAGCAAAACGAAAGAAAAGAAATTAGGTCGTTTCTTTGCTTAAATCAATTCCCAAGGCTTGCGTTGTCCTGTAAGCTTGGACTGCTAAGCAAAAGTTCACCAGTTCGAACCCCTCCACCACTTCTCAGAAGAAAGATGAGCTTTTCTGCTCCTATAAATCTTTACAGGCTCAGAAACTGCATACAGTTTTTCTGTGTTGGAATCGACTTGAGGGCAGTGGATTTGGTTGTTATTTTAATGTGATCCTCCCAAGGTGGGAGGAGGGAATCGTTGCTATCACATTGGCTCCAACTCAGGATGACCCCATGAGAGTCAGAATACAGCTGTGCCCCGGAGGGGTTTCAAGGCTTGGACCCTTCAGCAGCACACTGTCAAGTCTGTCTTTCAAGGCAGGCATGGATGGACTTGAACTCTCTCTCCATTAGCAGGGAACATGTTGACCATCTATGCCACCTAAGGACTCTTCCAAGGAGAAATTTCACTTTTTGTTCAAGAATTTGCTGGAAAAAAGTCCAGACATCATGGGATAGTATACGCCTGACTACCATCAGGCTGATGACCCAATGGAGAGTTTCTGAAGCCGTCAATCTTTACAGGAGCATATAGCCTCCTCTTTCTCAATCTATACAGGAACAGAGAGCCTCATCCCACTCCCTCAGAGGAGCTTGGGGGTTTGAACCACTGACCTTACAGTTCGCATTCCAATGCTTCCCAACAGTGCCATGGACTGCCAAAGGAACAAACAAATCTTTGTTGGAAGAAGTATAGCCAGAATAAATGCTCCTCAGAGGCAAGGATGGTGAGACTTCATCTCATGTACTTTGGACATGCGAGGGGGTACCCCCCCCTAAAAAAAAAAAGGCAAAAAGCTCTCCTGGGCAGAACTTTAATAGCACGCACTTTTCGTGCTAGGTGAGTACTGGGCAACTCTCTCTGAGTGCATGCACCCAGTGGCATCACCAGGGAAGGTTCTCACTGGTCACAGTGCATTTTTTTGTATAAGCAGTTTTTCTTGAAATTCTTTTTTTTGGGTGGGGGGCAATTTAAGAGAAACAGCATGCGGCTGTAAAAATGTTTCCTGCTTGGGAAAAATGCTGCAGAAATTGTTGTGGTGTTGATCGGTTTACAAGGACAGTGGTATGGGAAAAGCTCAGTGAATGAAGTGGTTTTCTCATTTCAAAAAAGGTGAGATATAGATAGGTGACAAATGTTGTTCTGGATGTCCATCAACTTCCCAAAAGGTTGAAAATGTCAACTCATAGTGCATTGGGAGTTCATTCCAACAGATCAGACTGCTAATCAAATTTTCTATTTAGAGGTTCTAATAAGTATTGAGTAAGAGCGTGTGACAAAAAAGGCCTGATTGTGGCAGCTGGGGGACTGGTTTTGCCACCATGACAATGCACCTGCTCACACAGCCATCTCAGCCTGCCAGTTTTGGGGCAAAAGACAGCATGCTTCTCTTGCTCCACACACTTGACTCACCTCACCTCACTCCCTGCGAGTCCGTCTTGTTTCCAAAAAATGAAGAGGAACATGAAAGGACAGCGATTTGACGACACAGAAGAGGCGAAGAACAAAATGAGGGGGTGCTGTCAGCCAGGCAAACAGATGAGCTTGAAAAATGTTTCCAAGAATGGAGTCGCAGATTTGACAAATGTATTAAGTGCAATGGAAAGCACTTTATAGGTGATAAGGTTGGTTTGTAAAAATATAATTTAATGCCTAGCTTTGGGGGGAAAATTCCATTTTGGGAGGGGCTACCTCCTCTTATGATCAGGAAAATCAGTCCCTGGAAAAGGACACCATACCTGGTAAAGTAGAAATGAGGAAGCGCCTGGGAAGATGGATTGACATAGTGGCTGCTCAAACGTAGGACGAGTGTGAGGACTGGGCTGTGGTCCGTTCTGATGTACTCAGGGTTGCTATGAGTCAGAACCAGTGCCAACAGCACCGCATACCAACAACAAGAAACAGAAGGTTCTGGGGCTGGGTTGCTGTGGCTGTGTTTCCTGCCTGTGTTTCCTGATCCTAAGAAGGAGAAGTAGACTCTTGGAGTCTTGGAGAAGTACACTCTTCCTGCCCTAACTGTGCTTATGGGATAAGAAAGAAGCCCCCTTTCCCCCTCTTTCTCAGAAAGCTGTGCTCTGTACCTGCTTTTGGACCATTAAGAGAGGGCTACATTTTGGGAGTGAGCACAGGAAAAATGGTCAAGTATGTGCTCTGCTGAATTTTAGTCCTGTGGACTACCCGGGTGGCCTGCCTCCTGAAAGCCCCAGTTCTCCTGTGCTCCGCTTGACTCAGCTCAGACTCCACTGGAGTTTAGAGGAACCCTGAGTGGGGAAGAATGTGTGTGGGGGTTGGGGGGGTGACTGGCTCTGTAGGGTAAGGTGACCAGACGTCCCGCTTTTGGCGGGACAATCCTGATTTTTAACAATTTTTCCCGCATCCCGCGGCGTTTTTAAAAAGTCCCAATTTTTGGAAAGAATGCACGACAAGCTAGGATATACGGTTTTTGGCTGCCATGTGGCTATTTTGCCAGGATATGACTTTTATCAATGGTGTCCCGCTTTACCAATGGTAAAATCTGGTCACCTTACTGTAGGGATCTCAAAGCAGGTTTGCTGTGGCAAACAAGATTCAAGCGCAAGCATGGGGCATCCAGGCTCTCAGGAGTTTCTCAGTCTCACGGGCACAGAGGGCACACAACCAGTTTTTAGAAATGCTATTCTTGATGGCTCAGGGTAATTATTATAAACACCAACTAAAATCAGTCACTCTCAATTCATGGTGATCCCATACATGCGAACGGAACTGTGCTCCCCAGCACTTTAAAGGGAAGCTCTTTCAGAGCAGATCTTCGGGCCTTTCTTCTCAGGTTCCTCTGGGTGGACTTGAACTTCCAACCTTTCAAACTGTGTGCTGAACAAGTTTTCACTCCCCCCATCCAAAAAAAAAAACCTGCACTGCCATCTGACTCATAGTGACCTGCTGTGTGTTTCTGACACAGGAGTAGAAAGCCTCGTCTTTCTTCTGAGGAGCTGCTGGTGGTTTTGAACTCACAGCCATGCAGATCGCAGCCCAACCCATAACCACTACACCACCAGGGCAGGAATTCCAAAACTGCAGCTACTCTACTATATTATATTCCATCCATGGTGATGTATGGAACCCTGGTGGTGTAGTGGTTACCTGTTGGACTTCGATCCACAAGGTCAGCAGTTTGAAATCGCCAGCTGCTCCTTGGGAAAAAGACTGGGCTTTTTACTCCTGTAAACAGTGACAGTCTTGGGAACCTTCAGTAGGGGGGGTCACTAAGACTCAATATAGCAGTGAGTTGTGCATAGGCCTCTCTGCCCCAACATGAAATGACCGCAATTCATGGATCATTTTGAGTAGTTCATTCTGAATTTTATTTCTCTACCTTTAATTCCAGTCTGCCCGAACTACCACTGTTAATGTACTTAAGACAGACTAGTTGCCCATTTCTAATCTACTTCTCCTAATTTACTATGGGCCAGATGGGAAAATGTGGAGAAACTATGTAGAAAATCAGCATAAATGAGATTAGAATACAGATTCCAGTGGGTTTCCCATAGGAAGACGAACAAGTTTCACCATATGGATCTGATACACCAGCTTTGAACCCCTAGGGGCCTTTATAGCTTCCAGCCAGCTGATTGTGTTGAAGACATTTACCTAGGGGAAGTGTGGCTTGTAAGGATATTTTTCCCACTTGCCTTTATTTTAAACTGGAAGTGTTCTGATTCTTCCAAAACAAGGGATAAATAAAAAACCTTCTGTTTTCTCTTAAAAAGTCTTTACATTCGTCATCTCTTTGCACTTAGGAGTTTTGCATCAGACTATACGTGATGCTCGATTCAGACAAACAGGTGCCTCGGCCAAGAAAAGCCAGCTGGCCCAGGTGTTTGTTATTATGGCGAGAAACTGAAACCAGCTGGCCAAAGTCAAAAGGAATATACTGGAAGGACACCGGGGAAGCTTACAGAATCAAAGAACAAGATGAACTACCAGGTCATAGATGCTTCAAGAACCCCAACACTGAGAACCTGGACCCTCTCCCCAAGCAGTCATCGTGCGTGGGACACAGCTCTGTACACATATTCCTTAAGGACAAATCACTTGATTGCTTCCGCAGTCAAATGTCTCCATCTCTGGTCAAATAAGGGCTGACTAGGAGTCAGTATAAAACAGACACATCGGGCATTTTATCAAGATCCTGGAAGCCATGGTAAATTGAGATTACTACAATGTCCTTGGCACTTATTTCTCAGCATATCTAATTTTTATCCTCCACGGGCTCTCTCCCAGGCACGGTCTCCAGCAGGCATTATTGCTTTGCTCTGGTGAGCTGAGAAAAGTCCATGCCTTCCACTTACTTGTCATTCACAAGTTTCCCATGTTGGTGAATCTGATTTTCCATCGTGAAGTTGATTGTAGCACCAGACACATGCTCACCATAAAATACCTTCATTTTCGACTTGTAGTCTTCATCTTGGAAATACCGGATCATATCAGGGAACCAAACCGTCAGTCCATAGTAACTGAAATAGAGAAGACAAAATATGGGGTTAGCAGCAGGCTTCATTCCTTCATCATCCTACTCTACAGTCCTGAGTGGAGATGCTCAGGTTCCTAGAAAGTGGATTAAAATGGTCCAGGAATGAACATCTGGTAATATAAATGATCATATTAATAGATCTATGGAGAATAATCAAGACCATCTCTACAGATTCTGAAAAAGTGTTTGATAAAAATCAGCATTCATTCCTGATTTTAATAATACCAATAAATTAGGAATTGGTG